CGACGTCTCCTGCTGGCGCTGCTTCCTTCGCGTCTACAGAGCTGGCACTGGCCTCCGCTGCGGCCCGCTTGCCCAGGGACTGAGCAGCCTCGGCCCTCTGCCCCCGGGCCTGCTACTCCACGTCGCGCATGACGACGCCCGGCCTCTCGGGCGCGATCTTCTGATGCGGGGCCCCGGCCGCTCGAGGGCCCGCCGCAGCTGGCCGCGGCGGCTGCGCGCCAGCCGGCGCCCTCCCAGAGGGCAATCCCGAGATCGAGGGGGCCGCAGCTGCCACCGGCACCTGCCACTCCGCGCCCGCCACGCCCACCCGAGCAAAACCTTTGCCACGCAGCGAGCAAACTGCATGCTGTCGCTTGCACGCGCGGGCAAAACCCTCTCGGGGGTCGACATGTCCGGCTTGGTCTCCTGGTAGGCAACCCGCGTGGTGCGCGCCCCGCAGATCCACCGTCGCCCATGACCGTTGCTGCCGCACTCCGCGTGGATGGGCATGTGGCGGCACGCGTAGCACTGCGCCTGGGCCGCCCCCCCGCGCCATGGGCGCTGGCCTCGAGTCGCGCCCGTCAGCACGGCGGCGCCCGTAGCGGCGCGGGCCCACTGCGGGCGGACTCCCTAGCCGCTCGCTCATCGTCCCAGGTCGAGACGTTCGCAGCTGAGCCTCTGTCTGCGCCTCATTATTGTTATCTGGCTGGGCGGGCAGGGCCGTCAACGGCGCCGCCCCCTGCGGGCGCGGCTCGCAGCTGAATGCAGTCTGAGACGCCCAGAAACCTGATGGGCTGATCGAGAGAATACCTCGCTACACTAAGCAGCGGGCCCCGCGGCTCGAATGCTCGAGCCGAACCACTGCGTCATCGGGCATACGAGGCGCGGCGCGAGCGCCCCTGAGTCCCGCGGCTCGCCCGCCCCCGCCTGAGGCCCCCGCGCCCTTCGCCCTCCCGGGCGTCCTGGCCGCTGACATGGCCTCTCCTCGTCTTCCCCTGGCGGTAACTGCCTGACTCTGATTTCCGTAGCTCTTTCCGGAAGGGCGCTGGGCCGCGGGGCCTCGAGCGGTCGACCTCAGCGGGGCGGGCGCCCGCTCTGCCCCTGGGCCCCCGAGGCCCCATGCAAATTCGCCCGCTCACTTCGGCCGGCCGCCCTGGAGGCGCCCTGCCCGGCTCGAAGGCGTCGAGAGAGAGAGAGAGAGAGAGAGAGAGAGAGAGAGAGAGAGAGAGAATGATAATGATAATGATAATGAAAGTGAGAATGAGAATGAGAATGAGAATGAGAATGAGAATGAGAGAGAGAGAGAGAGAGAGAGAGCGAAAAAAGAGAGAGAGAGAGAGAGCGAGAAAAGAGAGAGAGAGAGAGAAGAGAGGGAGAGAGAGAGAGAGAGAGAAGAGAAGAGAGAAAAAAAAAAAAGAAGAAATAGAGAGAAGGAGAGAGAGAGAGAGAGAGGAAACACAAAAAAAAGAGAGAAAGAGAAACAGATATAATAAAGAGAGGAGAGAAGAGGAGAGAAGAGAGAAGAGAGAGAGAGAGAAAAAAAAAAAAAAAAGAGAAGAAGAAGAGATAGAAGAGAGAGAAGAGAGAGAGAGAGAGAGAGAGAGAGAGAAAGAGAGAGAGAGAGAGAGAGAGAGAGAGAGAGAGAGGAGAGAGAGAGAGAGAAGAGAGAGAGAGAGAGAGAGAGAGAGAGAGAGAGAGAGAGAGAGAGAGAGAGAGAGAGAGAGAGAGAGAGAGAGAGAGAGAGAGAGAGAGAGAGAGAGAGAGAGAGAGAGCGAGGCGACCCAGCCGAAGGAGAGTGGGAGAGGTGAGCAGACATGCGCTGCGGCGTCTGCGACTGAGACCGAAGGGGCGCGCTTCCCCGCCAGGGTTCGGCAAGCGAAAATCGCCAAATCGCATTGCGCGGCGCCTGGCGAGGAGACGGCGCGCGTCGGCCTGCGCCCCCCAGGCGCCTGAAACTGATTTCGCAGAGAAAAAAAAGGAAGCGAGGGCGGCGCGTTCTCTGCGAGGACGTCTAGGTCAAAAACTCCCACCTTGCCTCGGTTGCCCTGGATGCCTTCGGACATCATAGCCGCGCTCAGAACCTCGGCCCCTCCGCCCGCGCAACGGGCCGAGCGGTTGCGAGGGGGGCGCCCCTGGCGCCCTCAGGCTGGCCCCGCGCGAGAGCTGGTGGCGGCGCCCCAGGGCAGGCCTGCCGATCAGACCCCGACCAACCGCGGTGCCCACTAGCACCTCGCCCGTGGCCCAGCCCATCGCCTGCTCCTCCTGCTGGTTCGGGTCGAAGATTTTCGCGTAGACGAAGCCCGCGATCGCGCCATTGACGTTCGCGGCGGCCCCCGCGGCTGCGCCCTGGCCATTCCGCGCCGGACATTCGCGAGACCAGTGGCCCTTCTGGTTACGATTGCGGCATCGGGTCCTCGCGATCAGCTCGGACAGTGACGCGCGGGACTTGCGGGGCAGACATTTCCCGCCCGCTGAGCAGCGGCCCCGCTACCGACGCGGCTTCGTCGACAAGCCCATTCTTTCTCCTGTCGAGGAACTTGCGGTTGACCTTCACCCTGCGTTTGAGATCTCGGCGCCGCTGCAATGTCTTACGCCTCTCGTTTTGCATCGTCGCGAATGCCTGAGGCAGCTAGCTCTTCACCATAGAGTCCCACGCCCTCCGGGGTGACGTATCTATCCTGCTCGCCGCCCATGTCCAGGGAGGCAACATCGTCGTCGTCGAGCGGAATCGTCCTCCTGATCGTCCGCCACAACGGAGTATGTTTGCTCATTTCAGGAAAAAACCACCTCCTGTGACATACGATGTCTTCTGAAACGGCAGGTGTTCTCGACGGGTGACGTCCATCTCGCGCATGGCTCTCAAGGCCTCGCCGTGCGAGCCCCTGGTCTTCATCAAACACGCGCATGACCTGCTGGCCTCTTTCGTCCACTCCTACGCCCTCCTCGAGGACGATGAACTTCCAGGACGTCCGCGGCCCGACGGCCCAGGGTGGCGACCTTGTCGAATGAGAATCAATCCTGGCCGCGTACTCGGCGAGGCCCTCGCCACGGCGTCGTCGGAAGGAGCAGAGGCACTCTCTTCCCGCTTGCCATTTCTCATCATCTGCTTTTTCTCCCGACAGCAGGTCTAGGCGCTCGATGATGCGATCCGCCCCCTTCTCGGAGGTGAGCACCTCGCCCATCAGGTCGTCCATCTTCCTCTGGAGGTCGAATGGGAGCACCTTGTGGATGCGGTCGGCGTGCTTATGCGGTGCCGCGTCGGCAAGCTGGCGCCAGCGGACCAGCTGAAACCTCCACAACTTCAAATCGTTCCAACTCGTCGAATAGTCGGGGCCCGCGAAGTCCTCACCTTTCTCGCTCCAGCCGCCGCCGCTCCAGTCATCTCTCTGTCCCAAGCCCTTCCAGCTGGAGTCGTCCCAATAATTGGCCCTTCAATTGGCGGTTCAGTCCGCCTCAACGTCGTCCCTGACGATCGTGGGGCGATCCGCGCCGGCTGAAGCGCCTGGAGACCGACTCTGACTCCACGGATCGGAATCGCGCCACGGGTCTCCGTCATCCTGTGTTCCGCCACTGGTTCGTCCGTTGCCTGCAGCTGCGTCTTCTCGACTCGTATGGCTGGACACTTGATCCTGGTCACACACTGCTCAGATGATTTGTTCAAATTGCTGCCCTGAGACTCTCGTGGAAGACGAGGGGCCTGGGGCAGGCGGCGCGGCTGTTGGCGTGTTCTCGCCTCTGCAATCGCCTCATTGAGAAGGTTTCTGAATTGCTCATCTGTCATTCTGTATTGGCCGTCCTCGTCGGCCCACTGTCTTGCTGTTCCCAATGCTGTACCGATCGGTCCCTGGCCCGCCTCCGGCGAGCCGTGTGGAGAATTAGCAGCACGTTCTTCCGACATCGTCACGGTCCAGAAATCAGAGCCTCCTCACAAGCTCCGATACCACTGTTCCCCCCACGGACGTTTTCTGAAGATAACGTAATGTCCTCCAGTCTTTTCTGCTCGCACAAGGCCCCCCAATTCGATCTCCGATGGCACAGCACTCCGTCTACTCGCCGGCAGTGAATGTGGAAGGGTACAAGGAATGGGCGTGAGGGATCGGAATCTGGAAGGAGTGGTGAGCAACTCGGAATGTCAGCAAATGGGTGGAGGAGGAGTGGCCTTGAGCCAATGGTCACTAAGGGGACCCGTCTTCTCTCTCTACACCGTTCAAGTCCAAACGCGGAAGGCGAGGGTTGGGTCCCTCGCCAGATCAATGAGCCGTAGGCGCTCATTCCCACATTCGCACCCTCGCGCCGCCCCTCGTGGGAAGGGCAGCTGCTCTGGTCCGATATCGACGAGCGAAGCGCGGGCATCTGCGCGCCCCTGTGAGTGACCCAGGTAATTCGTAGAGACGTGAGAGGGCGGAGACAGGGGCAGAGGCGGGGCCAGAGGAAGATCGTCCTGCGCGACTCCTGAGCATCCAGCTGGGCACGCTCCCTGATCCCATCTTGCGATAACCATAACCACCCTCTTCGACGAGCCCCCGACACGTGCCAACCTCCCTCCCCTCGTGCCGATATCTCTCCCGCTCGCTGCGGAGAAGGCGCAAGTGGCGGCAGCGGATGTCCGCAATTGGTAAGGCTTCGGGTTGTGCACAGACAGCCCCCCCGGTAGGCCCGACTTGCGTCAGCATATGCCCCCCGGATAGCCGGGGGCGGTCTCAACACCTCAACCCTGCAGAATGCTGAGATGGCCTCAGGCTACTCGGAGGCCCGTTGACAGAAAAACACAAGGATACCGAGACCGTTACTCCACAGACCTATCCCAGGGCGCGTTCTGACATAACTTCGAAGAGAGTCCAGTCGTGGCGACGAGGGCTCTCCAGGAAGAGCAGCGGTATCAATACCTCTATCCCGTCTGAATTGAGACCGCCTGGGACTACTCAGAGGGCATGTTGAAGCCAGCTGGGACTACCTGCTGGAGGGCTGTCTGGGCGCAACTCGGAATACCCGATGGTCAGGGGCGGGAAGGGACCCGTCTCCTCTGGGATCTCCTTCGGCGTGTCCTTCGCCTGGTACAGGCTCGAGTCCGCCGGCCCCGCCCCGGCTGGGGCGGGGGGGATGGGCGGCTCATGGTGGCGGCGCCCGGAGGGGGGGGGCGCGAGAAGAACGGCCGTTCAAGAAGGCGGGGGGGTTTTAACAAAGCAAAGGCCTTCTCAGAAGGCCCTGCAGACAGAAGCCGGGCGGGTTTCTAAGAAGACCTCTTGGCTTCTCAGGAGCCCCGCCGCCTTCTGAGAAACCCACCCCCCTCGCGCCACCCCCATCGGGAGCGCCGCCTATGATAGAGGGATTCGAAGCGCACTGAGGGCTTTCGAACACCTTGGACGGCGGGACCAGGGGGGAGTGAGAATGGGCAGGGGAAGGAGAAAAAGAGTGGGAGGGGAAGAGCGAGGGGATGATGAAGAAGGGAGGAGGGAGAGGAGGAATAGAAGCAAAACGAGGATAGAAAGGCCCTGAGGAGGAGGAGGAGGAGGAGGAGGAGGAAACGGAGGAGGAGGAGGGCTTGAGGAGGAGGAGGAGGAGGAGGAGGAGGAGAAGGGTTTGTTCTTGGAGGAGTCTTGGGCTCTTGGGGGGCCGAGAACAGGAGAAAGGGCGGGAGAGGGGAGTGGGAGAGCAGAGAATATGGGAGTGGTGGGGGGGGGCGTGTAGGGAATACGGATAAGGAAGGGTGAACGTGTGTACATGCATATGAGTATGCAAAGAGAGAGAGAGAGAGAGAGAGAGAGAGAGAGAGAGGGAGAGAGAGAGAGAGAGAGAACAAAAAAAGGAAGGAGAGAGACAGACCAAGCTAAATAAACAAGACAACAAGTACAACAAAAAAAACATTCCCTCCGATAAGTGGACGCCCAAAGAGAATCTCTGCAGTTTGCCTGAACGTACCGTTATCCTGCTCTTGTTTCCTGCCCCTTCCTCCGGCATCCTACCCCCTCGGGAGCATCCTCCCCCTGCCTCTTCGCTAAGGCATCCCAGGTGACCCTGGACCTCCTGGGGGTCCTTAGTGTTTCACTGGGCATTCAAAGGCTTGCTGACGCTTCCTGGGGTGTCCCGAAGCCCCTTGGAACTGCCTGCGGTTCCTACAAGGCTCGTTGAGGGATCCCTCGCGACACTTTTTCAAGGGTCCAGTTCCCAAGTGTCAACAAATCCACGATCCCAAACGTCTAAACAACTGGGCCGAATCTTCAGTCTGGCGGCTATGTGGCCGCCATCGCCGCCTCGTCACGGCCCGTCGTTTGGGCCGCGTCTTCGATCTGGCAACTGTGTGGCCGCCGTCGCCGCCCCGCCGCCGCGCCGCTTGGATACATCCGTCTGGGCTGCATCAATGGATTGATTCCTTTTTCCCAAAAGACAATCGACCCCCCCCTGGCCGGATTAAAAATTCCCCCTTTTTTTCGTAGGAATTGTTACACGTGGTTATGCCAAATCGTCCATCCAAAATATGAACTCGCACCATCCCGGACCGCCCGGTATCGTTCCCTCCGCCATCCTTGCAAACATACAGATGCACACGCGCGCGTCGTCAGGTTCACGCGTGCCGAGAACCTGAACCCCCAAGAAAAACCTTCGGGTGTCGTAAAAGTTTGAAAACCAACTGTCCGAAACACACGAAAAAACACATGGTTTCGCAACACGGATTTTCCAAAACCATATGCGCGCGCGCTCGAGCGAACTCCTGGGGGAAACAAAACCCACACGTATTCATATTCTTTCCTGGGAATGCTACCAAACGGGCTTCGCGCGCGCGCGTCGAAATCGTTCGAACGCCCTTGCGCGCGCGCCGTCGCGAAAATCCCCTGCAACACATGTGACCAAATGCACGCGCTTCCGTCGTCGCGCGTGCATGCCGAAATCCGTCAGAAACCGTCGGTTTCGTTGCGATGCGCCTCTCACGCCGCACGCCGACATCATTCGCGCGCCCTTGCGCACGAGCTGGGGGGGACACGATCCGTGTCAAATAACACCATGTGGGCCACTTTCGCGCGTCGGCCGCGCGCGCATGTCGAACCCTTTTTGTTGCCAAAACCTTCATCACCAACGCGGGGACGCCGTCATCGTCGTCTGCGTAACCAACATCGGCGTCCACTGGCCGCGCCGTCATCCATGCCAACATCGCCACCAACATCGCTGCTATCACCATTGTGTCTACCTTTGTCAAAGTTGCCATGATACCTCGCCCACCCAAGTCGCACATTCGCAGCGAAGTGCCCGCTGGGATGCTCCCAGCGGTCAGCGCCACCGCGGCCGCGTCCATCGCGCCAAACTACCTGGCCGTTGCGCGCGCGTTCGGGTTGGCGCGGCCGCAGAGATGCACCAGCCAGCGCCAAGCATGCATCGCAATCGCCACCGCATGGTTTTGCAAACCAAGTTGCGGGTGGGTGGGTGGGATGTTTGCAAGAACGTGGGGTGTGTCAGCTCGTTTGTTACAAGCAAGTGTACCACTTCCCTTGTCTTAAAAGAGAATCAACTCTGACCCCCCCCGGGATTTTCTGCCCCCCTTTTCGCGTCGCAACTTGCATATGACTCTGCCCCCTCGTCCAACTCAAATATGAACTCGCGCCATCCCAGCATGCCAGGGGGGGGCGGCTTCCGCCGCCCCCCCCCCCCCCCCGCCCCCCCCCTACAACAGATGCTATGCAGGCACAGTCTTACATCAAAAGCCAGCAGTTTCCAATGATCCCGCGCAACCACTGACGCGACATGCACACGCGCGCGCTGTCGCGCGCGCGTGCCGGAATCCTGGAACAAAACCTTCGGCGCCGGACAGGTGTTCAAAGACAGTTTGCGCGCGCCGCTCTTGCGACTTCGCAATAAAATCATTGGTTTCTCCTGATTTTCAGAAAATGCCACCAAACGGGCGTCGCGCGCGCATGTCGAAATCGTTCGAACGCCTTTTGCGCGTGTGCCGTCGCGAGAAAGATAATGCCAAACATGTAGAAGTGCACGCGAGCGCGTCGTCGCGCGCGCACGCCGCAATCAGTCAAAAACCTGCGGTGTCGTAACGTTTTCGAAACCGAATGTCTCAAACACATGTAAACAAACGGTTTCGCAACATCGGTTTTCAAAAAGGCGCGCGCTCGCGCTCTTGCGACGGAATCATTGCAAAACCTCAGGTTTCCAACATCTTCGCGGAATTATGCCAAACGGGCTCCTGGCGCAACATGCCGACAACATTCGCGCGCCCTTGCGCGCGTGCTGGAGGGCACGATCCGTGCCAAATGAAACCATGTGGGCCACTTTCGCGCGTCGGCCGCACGCGCATGTCGAAATCATTTCAAAACCTGCACCGCTGACGCGAGGATGCCGACATCATCGTCGGCGAAATCAGAATCGGAGCCTGCATTGGCCCCTCCCCGTCGATGTCAACATCGCCGCCAAAATAGCTGCTATAAGTATCGCGTCTACCGTTGCCGACGTTGCCATGATACCGCGCGCGCTCAAGTCGCCGAAGAGCAGCGCAGCGCCCGCTGGGATGCGCCCAACGGCCAGCGCCACCGCGGCCGCGACAGTCGCGCCAAACCACCTGGCCGCTGCGCGCGCGCGCCTGGGTTGGCGCGGCCGCAGAGATGCACCGGCCATCGCCAAGCATATATCGCAATCGCCACCGCATGGGACTTGCAAAGCAAGTTGCGGGTGTGCGGGTGTGATGTCTGCAAGACAATGGGGTGTGTCAACTCGACTCTTACAATCAAATGCACCACACAGGTTCGCTTGTCTTAAAGGAGAATTAACTCTGAGACCCCCCGAGGATTATCTGTCCTCCTTTTCGTGTGGCAACTTACATGTGATTCTGCCCCATCGTCCAACTCAAATATGCACTCGCACCATCCCAGCATCCCAGGGGGGCGGCACCCGCCCCCCCCCCCCCCCCCCTCCCCTGCAACGGATGCCATGCGCGCGCAGTCTTACATCAAAGCCAGCAGTTTCCAATGATCCCGTGAAAACATTGACGCGACATGCATGCGCGCGCGTTGTCGCGCGCTCGCGCAAAAATCCCGCAACAAAACCTTCGGTGTCGGACGGGGGCTCAAAATCGAGCGTCAAAAAAAAAACGCAGGGTGTCGCAGCGCGGGTGTTCAAATTCAGTTTGCGCGCGCCGCTCTTGCGACTTCGCAATGCAACCATCGGTGTCCCATCATTTTCAGAAAATGCGACCAAACGGGCTTCGCGCGCGCATGTCGAGATCGTTCGAGCGCCTTTTGCGCGCGCGCCGTCGCGAGAAAGCTATTGCCAAACATGTAGAAGTGCACGCGGGCGCGTCGTCGCGCGCGCATGCCACAATCAGCCAAAAACCTTCGGTGTCGTAGCGGCTTCGAAACCGAATGTCTCAAACACATGTAAAAACACACGGTTTCGCGAAACAAAAAGGCGCGCGCGCGCGCTCTTGCGACGGAATCATTGCAAAACCTCAGGTTTCCAACATCTTCGCGGAATTATGCCAAACGGGCTTCTGGCGTAACAAGCCGACATCATTCGCGCGCCCTTGCGCGCGTGCTGGAAGGCACGACCCGTGCCAAATTAAACCATGCGGGCCACTTTCGCGAGTCGGCCGCGCGCGCGCATGTCGAACTCCTTCCAAAACCTGCACCACCCGCGCGAGGACGCCGACATCATCGCCGGCGAAATCAGCATCGGCGCCCGCGCTGGCCCCACCTCGTCGATGCCAACATCGCCACCAAAATAGCTGCTATCAACATCGTGTCTACCGTTGTCAACGTTGCCATGATATCGCGCCCGCCCAAGTCGCCGATCCGCAGTGAAGTGCCCGCTGGGATGCGCCCAACGGCCAGCGCCACCGCGGCCGCGACAGTCGCGCCAAACCACCTGGCCGCTGCGCGCGCTTGGGTTGGCGCGGCCGCAGAGATGCACCAGCCAGCGCCAAGCATGCATCGCAATCGCCACCGCATGGGTTTTGCAAGCCAAGTTGCGAGTGGGTGGGTGGGATGTCTGCAAGACCATGGGGTGTGTCAACCGATTGTTACAATCAAGTCTAGCACGCAGATTCTCTTGTCTTAAAAAGAATCAACTCTGACCCCCCCGGGGATTATGCCCCCTTTTTTGCGTTGCAACTTGCATATGACTCTGCCCCCTCGTCCAACTCAAATATG